CACACGATTCCTGCATACGTCTCTGACAAAACTGAAACGATGTGCTCAAATACCCCAAAGCACTTCAAGATTTCCGCATCGTCCGACGATTCACTGAATCAAACGCAGCCTTAGAGTCGAGAAAACTGGCAAACCAACGCAACTGGAATCGTCGGCATTGCGCAGTGATCCGATACAAAGTAAAAATTTGGTCAGAGCATGAATATCCTGTCCGGAAGCTTTCTTAATTTCAGCGGAGTCTTCTATCGACTGCTTGCCTCAACAGTTTCGGGACAATCCAAAAAAGCAACTTCCCACGAGTAAGAGTAGACCATTGCGCAATAGCGCGATAATTACAATACTCGTTTTCCCGTCCCCTGTAAATATGTAGACAATTACAAAACTCTTAAATTCTATAGGGAAACATTTTGAGGTCCACATGTTATTAAATAAGGTATGAAGCTTTCCCATCACTCCCGTTTCGCCATATCTGACTAACTAGACGGAATTTTGATCCACGCCGCATCTTTCTTGCCTTTGAGGTGCAGCAGCGCTTTTCGACTTTTATGTATGTAGGAGAGAACCTACTCTAACGATATTGGTAGTAAATTAACTGTCGGATGGGAAAAATCTGAAGTATAGCAATTAAGTTGCTACTTGAAATGCTCAGCTCATCTTTGAAGAGCTAATGGGATACCCATAGTCTTCTATAAAGATTGGGTGAGTTCTCTGCATACCAGACAGCTGTCATATTCCTTGAAATACTATTCGCTATTCATTCATTCTGGTTGCCTCATCGATTTTCCCGATTTTCCCCTCTAGCTAAAGTTCCCTGTTTCTCTGGTTGACTCCACGAATGAATCGGCGATGAGCTGCCTTCGAGGATGCAAGAAGGGGTTGAAAGTACTCCTTCTTAGCCTGGTTGTTCTGTTATCTATGCGTTAAAATGTTTTCCGTAACTCAGAGTAGTTTGGCTCTCCTTTTCCTGATCCCAACTACTTCCCACGCCAAGGATATAACGCCACGTCTAAAATGCTTATACTTTTCATCGACGCTGCTATTTCTCAAGGGCACTAAAGGTGGCCTTAAAATAACATTATGCCTCCTTTTGGTAGGCGGACCAAGCTACTTCGTCATATAGCAGCACATCCCAAAGTTGACTTGGTTCAACAGACGACGTTTGTGCGACAAGGCTAGTTTTAGACAACTGTTACGATCATACTGTGATCAGACCCAATGCAGACTCCACGCCTGATGCGAATCTCGAATAAAGAGGTACGCACGTTTCGGCTGACGAAGGGGTGGTCCAGTTGGGATTGTAGACTTCCACATGATATGATCATGTGAGTCCATGGGTAGAATCGCTTATGAAAGAATAGGGTGCCTTTTTGTAGCATAATAGCTTAACAAGCGTGAGCCGTTGTCACTTGCTGTATCAATTCTGTAATGGCCAAGATCGCCGGGTCAGGTGGGCCAGTCGGCGCCAACTTTCGCGTTTCGACCTATTTGTCAGGCACAGGCTACGGTGAAATTCAGCGTCGCCTAAAAAGCGACAAGTCAGGATCCTACCCGACATCTCCTTTACATAATAGACCACCCCGTTTACCTTAGGAGACAAAAAGATACCCACGACGACACGGCGCAATCTACTGTAACCCGACCAGCAAAAAGACCCCTGTGCTGCAGGTCAAGTGTCCCACTCCCAGGAAGGCGAGTTGGTCCAACTTACACTCACCGACTGAAGAACGAACTTACCAGCGTGCAACACAGAACGTGCCTGTTGCAGCGTTGGCTGGTGACATGCTGGATCTTTTGGTTCTGAGTTTTCGGGCTAGTTGTGAGCGTAAACCCCTCCGTGCGCAAGTCACTTTTGCGAGAGCAAGAAGTTTTACCGCCGCTCTTTCGGATATGAACGTGAAAAAAGGTAATCGACCATAGATCGACGAAAGGACGACGCACACCATACTACAGCAAAAGAAACAAGCTAAAAAACTTAAAAAATCAATAAATCTGAAGCGTCACCGACAAAAAGCACCAGGTCTGTGACCACGACCTTTAACACACTTGTCAGACAGTAAACCGGAAACCGGAGTGAAGGACACCATCGTGGAAAACAAAGAGAAAAAACACGATGGTCTGGGCGCGTAACTCCATTAGCTGACCGACGGCGGCACTGACGGGCGGCAGTGCAAAACACCGCCAGGAAGCTTCTCAAGATTCGATGATTTTATCACTAGGTTGCAAGTATTTTTGTGACAAACCAAGGCCAAAACCGGTTCGTTTGGGTTAGCATTTAGACCGGCAACAGCCTGCGAATCTAAAGTATCGTCGGCATCTCTTGGCGGAGGGGGGGGGCAATGGCTCACATGGTTAGTATGTTGTTGAGCACACTAGAGTACGGTTTCAAACGGAAGGAAAGAGTGCGAAGCTCGCACGAGTGAATGCAAATGAGGAAGCAGTGTGGTGGCGACTGAGGAATGGTCGACAGTGGCGCCAAATGGTCTGCTGCTGAACAGCCAAAATGAATAGCAACGGAAACGGATAACGGTTAACGGTAGGACTGGCGATGAACAGGTTTCGGAAAGAGACGGAGACAAACGACGTTGGAGCAAGAAACGATTGCACAGCTGCCGTCAGCAACTTTACAAATAGGTTGGTTTGTCTGGCGGAGAAACTGGAGGCAGTTGAGCGTTAAGTTGAAACGCGGAAAATAAAAAAACTTCCCAACTTTTCAAAATCTCCACCACAGCGTGAAAAACCGTGACAGATGTCTGGAAAGGCGAAAACAAAAAATGCTTCGATGGAGCCACATCGGCTTAGAAAAAGTCTACGTAAAAAGCGGTCGTGAAGTTACAAAAGTAGCGCTTGCTTTTTGCCGCTTGCTGCATTCGGTCAGCACCGAGCAAGTTTGTTTTCCACCATTAGTCCATCACGAAGTGAACCACTTTCGCACAGAACGCTCCGAACAGCGCACACTCCGATACACGTCCTGACCTCGTTTGCCTCGTTTCCTTCGTCGTCCTCGTCACCCGTCCTTCGGCCATTCCCAATCTCGTATTGCATGAAATCAACGTCACAACAGAGCTGATTTCGAAACAACCGACATTGCGAAAGTTGGCAAAGGGACCTCAGAAATCCATATTTCTCCTCGTCGTATACACGTGGACAACGATACCTCAAAAACATGAGTGGAGAACGCAAATTCATTCATGTTAAAAAAGTTCGCTATTCTGCTCGACTCGCATGAACAAAT